GAGCAGAGTAAACTTCAGGAGTGAATAAAGGAGTGAATAAAGGGGTAAATAGACGTTACTCTGTCTGAGTGTCCGGTGGCCGTGGCCAGCACCCGTCCTCTCCTCCAGTCCCAAACACACAGAGTGTTCTTAGCATCCAGGCCGACCGACACCAGGCGCTACACACACACACACACACACACACACACACACACACACACACACACACACACACACACACACACACACACACACACCACACACACACACACACACACACACACACACACACACACACACACACACACACACACACACACACACACACACACACACACACACACACACACACACACACACACACACACACACACACACACACACACACTTGATTAACATCCGTTTAGTTTCACCTTGTTTACATATGACACACCCCCTCCACACTTAGCTCCACCCCCTCCACACTTAGCTCCACCGCCTCCACACTTAGCCCCACCCCCTCCACACTTAGCTCTTGTGATTGGACGCCCACCCATTGGCTCGTTATGTTAGCTGAGTGTTCAGTCTGTAATTGAATATATTGTATAGTTGTATTAATATATATTGGAGTTCCCCAAGGCAGCGTCCTGGGGCCTCTGCTCTAGTGTCCTGGGGCCTCTGCTCTAGTGTCCTGGGGCCTCTGCTCTAGCGTCCTGGGGCCTCTGCTCTAGTGTCCTGGGGCCTCTGCTCTAGCGTCCTGGGGCCTCTGCTCTAGCGTCCTGGGGCCTCTGCTCTAGCGTCCTGGGGCCTCTGCTCTAGTGTCCTGGGGCCTCTGCTCTAGTGTCCTGGGGCCTCTGCTCTAGTGTCCTGGGGCCTCTGCTCTAGTGTCCTGGGGCCTCTGCTCTAGTGTCCTGGGGCCTCTGCTCTAGTGTCCTGGGGCCTCTTCTCTAGCGTCCTGGGGCCTCTGCTCTAGCGTCCTGGGGCCTCTGCTCTAGTGTCCTGGGGCCTCTGCTCTAGTGTCCTGGGGCCTCTGCTCTAGTGTCCTGGGGCCTCTGCTCTAGTGTCCTGGGGCCTCTGCTCTAGTGTCCTGGGGCCTCTGCTCTAGTGTCCTGGGGCCCTCTTCTCTAGCGTCCTGGGGCCTCTGCTCTAGCGTCCTGGGGCCTCTGCTCTAGCGTCCTGGGGCCTCTGCTCTAGTGTCCTGGGGCCTCTGCTCTAGTGTCCTGGGGCCTCTGCTCTAGTGTCCCTGGGGCCTCTGCTCTAGTGTCCTGGGGCCTCTGCTCTAGTGGTCCTGGGGCCTCTTCTCTAGCGTCCTGGGGCCTCTGCTCTAGCGTCCTGGGGCCTCTGCTCTAGTGTCCTGGGGCCTCTGCTCTAGTGTCCTGGGGCCTCTGCTCTAGTGTCCTGGGGCCTCTGCTCTAGTGTCCTGGGCCTCTGCTCTAGTGTCCTGCTCTAGTGTCCTGGGGCCTCTGCTCTAGTGTCCTGGGGCCTCTGCTCTAGTGTCCTGGGGGCCTCTGCTCTAGTGTCCTGGGGCCTCTGCTCTAGTGTCCTGGGGCCTCTGCTCTAGTGTCCTGGGGCCTCTGCTCTAGTGTCCTGGGGCCTCTGCTCTAGTGTCCTGGGGCCTCTGCTCTAGTGTCCTGGGGCCTCTGCTCTAGTGTCCTGGGGCCTCTGCTGTTAAACTATAGAGCTCAAACTAACTCATTCTACTAAACCATCAAAGACACATCGATCATCGATGAGATTATTATTCAGTTCTCATAAAGAGAGTAGTGAATCTCCTCTCATGCAACACCAAGAGATGAGCGGTGTTGGTGACGTCAGTGACCTCACAGTGACCTCACAGTGACCTCACAGCGAGCGCAGCACGGAGGCCTGTGATTGGCTGACGCAGCACTGACAGGTTTCTACACATGGGGGTTTAGTGATGGGGGTCAGGGCTCACCTGTCCGTCGGAGTCGAAGGCGAGGCAGGCGACCCCGTGAGAGTGCACGTCCCTCAGGATGGAGACGGTCTGCATGGCGTAGGTGTCCCAGATGCAGATGAAGGGGTCCTTCCCCACCTGGCCCGTGGCCACCTGGACCTTATCAGGGTGCAGCGCCAGACTGCAACACATCACAGATATGATATGATCTCTCTCTCTCTCTCACTCCGTAGATTTCAGTTTGAAGGTGAAACTAAAACATCTGAGTCGACAAAACAACGAAACGTCGACTCATCTTGTCGGGCAGATCCCTGAATCTGATGAGTCGACGTTTCATCAGGCGAGGTGACGTCAGTGACCTCACAGCGAGCGCAGCACGGAGGCCTGTGATTGGCTGACGCAGCACTGACAGGTTTCTGCACAGACCAGCAGACTGGGGCATCAGCTGTCCATGTCAGAATAAATATATATATCTGTCATTTTGTGTTTTGAAAACAAATAAACACAATATTTTGAGAAAGAAATTGAAATATTTTGAGAAAGAAAATAAAATGTTGAAAAAATATATTTTAAGAGAAAAAGTCGGAATATTTTAAGAAGAAAATGTTAAATATTTAATGTTTTTTTATATTTATATGAATAATAATAGTATTGAAATGTTGTTCTAAGATGTTATGAAGCAGAGCAGTTTATGATCTAACACCAGAGAGCTGTCAGAGCAGTGCATCATGGGAAACTCTCCGTCAGCGTCTTCATCACAGTCTTCCTCCCCCCACCTGTCCTAATGAAGACGAGTGGCTTCCTGTTCTTTCTGTCCTCTTCTGAATTCCCTTTACAATTTCTTAATTTAAAAAAAAAAGGTAAGATGGTTTGTAACTGTTGACTCTTTATGCAAATTAAAATAAAATATAAAAAAATGTAAGGGGACAAACCACAACTAAATTATAATTAAAAAAAACTAAATTCCTTTAATAATCATAAAGGAATTTTCTATTCTCTCTTCCCCCTTCATTCTTGTAATTGTATTTTTCGATGTTTACGGTGTTTTAATGACTGTTCTGAATGCATGTAAAGGTCCTTACACCCCAAACTGACACCAAAGAACACGTCCCGACGGAAAGTCGCCTCACGTCGCCTCACATCGCCTCACATCGCCTCACATCGCCTCGCGTCGCCTTGCCTCGCGTCGCCTTGCCTCGCGTCGCCTTGCCTCACGTCGCCTCACGTCGCCTCACATCGCCTCGCGTCGCCTTGCCTCACATCGCCTTGCCTCACATCGCCTCGCGTCGCCTTGCCTCACATTGCCTTGCCTCACGTCGCCTCGCGTCGCCTTGCGTCGCCTCGCCTCGCCTCACGTCGCCTCACGTCGCCTCACGTCGCCTCACATCGCCTCGCGTCGCCTTGCCTCACATTGCCTTGCCTCACGTCGCCTCGCGTCGCCTCGCGTCGCCTCGCCTCGCCTCACGTCGCCTCACGTCGCGTCACGTCGCCTCACGTCTCCTGCGTCTTGGCCATGTTTCGCACTGGAACACACCGCAAAGACTTCAGCCAACGGCCGAGAAGCACGCACGAACTGAGTGGCAATAACTCTCCTTACCAGCAGGCGGCGGTAGTGTGTATTCGTCATTCAAAAGAGGCAACCGGAAGACAGACTGCGTGATAACCGAGAGAAGAAGAACAGACTGTGTGATATATACAAACAACAAATAGCGTGTGCGTTCCATGTTCACTCTACAGCCAGAAGCTCACGGGGCTTTCCCCAACCCGTGTCGAGAGCTGGAGTTAAATGAAATCTCAGATTTGCCTTCTTAATAGTTTGTTTGGGTCTCTCACTTCCGTTTCGCTTCTCATGCACTGATTCGCTAGCTGAACAGCCAATCAGAGTGATTTATTTGGCCGACGGCCTTTAGCCGACAGCCTCCCGATTCAACATGTTGAATCGGCGGCGGAAGGTGTCGGCACGGCCGAAAAGACACGACGGTGCGGGACACACCAAGACACACCAATCTGAGTAGGGCGACAGGACGCTCATCGACAGCCCGACATCTATCGACGGCCGAAATCGGCTTGGTGTGTAAGGGACTTAAAGGTGTTTGTATGTGCTTCTGATGCACTTCGTCCTGACACACGCTGTATGAACAGGCTTCAGCTCATTCTCAAAGGCTCATCACGCTCTTTGAGTTTCTAATCGATGACTTCCTGTCTGCGAGGCGTCCTGCAGAGCTCTGTTTAATAAATCCTACAGTAAAGAAAAACTGCTTCTATATCCTACGACCAGTGAACGCACCACCATGTGTGTTTGCATTACTACTAACAGTATGATGCGTTCAGGTACAATCAGTGAAGAGTCTGTGTGTTATATTTTATTTAAAGGTGGGGTAAGTACGTTTGAGAAACCAGCTCGAGTGCGCTAGAATTTGAAAATACACAACCGGAGAAACTCTGCCACTTCCTTACAGAGCCCCTCCTCCAACACACACGAACGCACACATGACCAATGAGGGCACGAGATAAGTTTGTGCACAGATGGAAGGCTGACAGGCAGGTAGGCCATCCAGTTATTTTAGCCGGGCCGGCTCAGATGATTGGTCGTGCTTTTTACAGTACTACGGCTTCCACAGATGATATTTTGATACAAAAAAAGGTGTGTGTGTGTGTGTGTGTGTGGGGGGGGGGGTATCTATGGCAACACTCTCCTGTGGATGTCCTTTTAGATTATATATATTTAAGCAATAGCTCACGACAGGCCGTGGTATATGGCCATTATATCACAGTTAAGGGGCGTGGTTCGGCCCGTATACGCTCAGTATATCACGGCTAAGAACCAATCAGATTGCTTGATTTGACTTGTCCGTTTTATAAATATATATATATAACTTTAATCTCAGTTATTTCCTTAGTGTGAGACTTTACTGGTAGATTGATTATTTAAATCTCAGAGGATATTAAACTTATTTTTGTTGTAAATGAGTATTCTCTGAGATCCAAGTCAGACAGAGAAACTCAGTTCGTCTTTCTCCTAGATTTGAAATGTTTCATTGTTTTCTTAAAATGACGTCGACTCATCGTGTCGGGCAGATTCCTGAACTGATGAGTCGCCGTCTCATCAGGTGAGGTGACGTCAGTGACCTCACAGCGAGCGCAGCACGGAGGCCTGTGATTGGCTGACGCAGCACTGACAGGTTTCTGCACAGAGCAGCAGACTGGGGCATCAGCTGTCCATGTCAGAATAAATATATATATCTGTCATTTTGTGTTTTGAAAACAATAAACAACATTTTTGGGGAAAATAAGTCAAAAATATTTTAAGAACATTTTGAAATATATTGAAAAATATTTTTGAAGTATTTTAAAATAAAACGTTGGAATAATTTGACAAAAAAATTAATATTTTAAGAAGAAGATTTTAAATTGTTCATGTTTTTTCACATTTAAATTATTAATAATAATAATAATAATAATAAATAATGGTTATTACAGTCTCTCAGTTTATGATCTAACACCAGAGAGCTGACTGTCAGAGCAGTGCATCATGGGAAAGGGTTAGGGGTTAGGTAGCTCAGACCCCACGCAGCACCCAGGAAACGACAGCAGTAATCCAGCTCTCACTGTCCGCTCCTCGAGCCTCACAGGGCGGAGCAGCGAGCCCCCCAACGTCCCCCCAACACGGCCCCCAGACCCCACGCAGCATTCTCATGTTTGTCCTTACTGGTGTCATTTCCTGGTTGCTAACAAACGCCATTGTAAAACATAATCACTGATGTTCTGTAACGGTGGTGGACTCATCAGAACAGAGTGGGCGAGCTGACCAATCAGAGCACAGTGGGCTCACAGGGGGGGGGGGGCAGGAGCTCCAACAAGCCGTGTAGGACAGAGAGTGAATACACAGACTATACAGAGATGCTGTGAGAAACCAATGTGAGTTTGGAACATTGAACAATGTCAATCTATTCTAGTAGAGCTCAACTATGGAACTATGATCAGTAGAAATGACCGTGGGACCTTTAAAGTTAAAAAATCGGAATATTTGAATCCATGTTTATGAATATTTTTTGGGGTAAAGATCGGAAATATTAATATTTATAAAACATATGTTGACGCAGCACTGACATGTTTCTGCAGAGACCAGCAGACCCTCACCTGGTGATGTCTCTCACCTGGTGATGTCTCTCACCTGGTGATCACCTGGTGATGTCTCTCACCTGGTGATGTCTCTCACCTGGTGATGTCTCTCACCTGGTGATCACCTGGTGATGTCTCTCACCTGGTGATCACCTGGTGATGTTTCTCACCTGGTGATGTCTCTCACCTGGTGATGTCTCTCACCTGGTGATCACCTGGTGATGTTTCTCACCTGGTGATGTCTCTCACCTGGTGATGTTTCTCACCTGGTGATGTCTCTCACCTGGTGATCACCTGGTGATGTTTCTCACCTGGTGATGTCTCTCACCTGGTGATGTTTCTCACCTGGTGATGTCTCTCACCTGGTGATGTCTCTCACCTGATGATGTTTCTCACCTGGTGATGTTTCTCACCTGGTGATCACCTGGTGATGTCTCTCACCTGGTGATCACCTGGTGATGTTTCTCACCTGGTGATGTCTCTCACCTGGTGATGTCTCTCACCTGATGATCACCTGGTGATGTTTCTCACCTGGTGATCACCTGGTGATGTTTCTCACCTGGTGATGTCTCTCACCTGGTGATGTTTCTCACCTGGTGATGTTTCTCACCTGGTGATCACCTGGTGATGTCTCTCACCTGGTGATCACCTGGTGATGTTTCTCACCTGGTGATCACCTGGTGATGTTTCTCACCTGGTGATGTTTCTCACCTGGTGATCACCTGGTGATGTCTCTCACCTGGTGATCACCTGGTGATGTTTCTCACCTGGTGATGTCTCTCACCTGGTGATCACCTGGTGATGTTTCTCACCTGGTGATCACCTGATGATGTTTCTCACCTGGTGATGTTTCTCACCTGGTGATGTCTCTCACCTGATGATCACCTGGTGATGTTTCTCACCTGGTGATGTCTCTCACCTGGTGATGTCTCTCACCTGGTGATGTCTCTCACCTGGTGATGTTTCTCACCTGGTGATCACCTGGTGATGTTTCTCACCTGGTGATGTCTCTCACCTGGTGATCACCTGGTGATGTTTCTCACCTGGTGATCACCTGATGATGTTTCTCACCTGGTGATGTTTCTCACCTGGTGATGTCTCTCACCTGATGATCACCAGGTGATGTCTCTCACCTGGTGATATCTCTCACCAGGTGATGTCTCTCACCTGGTGATGTCTCTCACCTGGTGATCACCTGGCGATGTCTCTCACCTGGTTATCACCTGGTGCTGTGTCTCTCACCTGGTGATCACCTGGTGATGTCTCTCACCTGGTGATATCTCTCACCTGGTGATCACCTGGTGATGTCTCTCACCAGGTGATGTCTCTCACCTGATGATGTCTCTCACCTGGTGATCACCTGGTGATATCTCTCACCTGGTGATCACCTGGTGATATCTCTCACCTGGTGATGTCTCTCACCTGGTGATGTCTCTCACCTGATGATCACCTGGTGATGTTTCTCACCTGGTGATCACCTGGTGATGTTTCTCACCTGGTGATGTCTCTCACCTGGTGATGTTTCTCACCTGGTGATGTTTCTCACCTGGTGATCACCTGGTGATGTCTCTCACCTGGTGATCACCTGGTGATGTTTCTCACCTGGTGATCACCTGGTGATGTTTCTCACCTGGTGATCACCTGGTGATGTCTCTCACCTGGTGATCACCTGGTGATGTTTCTCACCTGGTGATGTCTCTCACCTGGTGATCACCTGGTGATGTTTCTCACCTGGTGATCACCTGATGATGTTTCTCACCTGGTGATGTTTCTCACCTGGTGATGTCTCTCACCTGATGATCACCTGGTGATGTTTCTCACCTGGTGATGTCTCTCACCTGGTGATGTCTCTCACCTGGTGATGTCTCTCACCTGGTGATGTTTCTCACCTGGTGATCACCTGGTGATGTTTCTCACCTGGTGATGTCTCTCACCTGGTGATCACCTGGTGATGTTTCTCACCTGGTGATCACCTGATGATGTTTCTCACCTGGTGATGTTTCTCACCTGGTGATGTCTCTCACCTGATGATCACCAGGTGATGTCTCTCACCTGGTGATATCTCTCACCAGGTGATGTCTCTCACCTGGTGATGTCTCTCACCTGGTGATCACCTGGCGATGTCTCTCACCTGGTTATCACCTGGTGCTGTGTCTCTCACCTGGTGATCACCTGGTGATGTCTCTCACCTGGTGATATCTCTCACCTGGTGATCACCTGGTGATGTCTCTCACCAGGTGATGTCTCTCACCTGATGATGTCTCTCACCTGGTGATCACCTGGTGATATCTCTCACCTGGTGATCACCTGGTGATATCTCTCACCAGGTGATGTCTCTCACCAGGTGATGTCTCTCACCTGGTGATGTCTCTCACCTGGTGATCACCTGGCGATGTCTCTCACCTGGTTATCACCTGGTGCTGTGTCTCTCACCTGGTGATATCTCTCACCAGGTGATGTCTCTCACCTGGTGAGAGACATCACCTGGTGATCACCTGGTGATATCTCTCACCTGGTGATCACCTGGTGATGTCTCTCACCTGGTTATCACCTGGTGATATCTCTCACCTGGTGATGTCTCTCACCTGGTTATCACCTGGTGCTGTGTCTCTCACCTGGTGATATCTCTCACCAGGTGATGTCTCTCACCTGGTGATCACCTGGTGATATCTCTCACCTGGTGATCACCTGGTGATGTCTCTCACCTGGTTATCACCTGGTGCTGTGTCTCTCACCTGGTGATCACCTGGTGATATCTCTCACCAGGTGATGTCTCTCACCTGGTGATGTCTCTCACCTGGTGATCACCTGGCGATGTCTCTCACCTGGTGATGTCTCTCACCTGGTGATCACCTGGCGATGTCTCTCACCTGGTTATCACCTGGTGCTGTGTCTCTCACCTGGTGATGTCTCTCACCTGGTGATCACCTGGCGATGTCTCTCACCTGGTTATCACCTGGTGCTGTGTCTCTCACCTGGTGATCACCTGGTGATGTCTCTCACCTGGTGATATCTCTCACCTGGTGATCACCTGGTGATGTCTCTCACCTGGTGATGTCTCTCACCTGGTGATCACCTGGCGATGTCTCTCACCTGGTGATCACCTGGCGATGTCTCTCACCTGGTGATCACCTGGTGCTGTGTCTCTCACCTGGTGATCACCTGGTGATGTCTCTCACCTGGTGATATCTCTCACCTGGTGATCACCTGGTGATATCTCTCACCTGGTGATCACCTGGTGATGTCTCTCACCTGATGATGTCATCGTTGTGTCCCAGGTAGAACTTCTGCGTGTGTTCTCTGGGGTTGAAGACCACGCCCACGCCGGCCACGAAGTACAGCAGCTCCTTCCCGGCGGTGTAGAACAGGTTGTTTCTGCACTGGTGCCCTCGGTACCCGTGGATCCACTCGAGGCGCAGCTGGCAGCGCGGAGCCGTCTTATCCGACATCACGTTAGAGAGCTAATGCTGCTGGGAGCTGTAGTCCACTGGCCCTTCAACTGAGCTGCATGCAACTACACTTCCCATAATGCCACGCTGCAGCAGGGGTTTGAGTTTAGGACGATTGTTCTTCAGTGAAATATAAGCTCTTAATGTTTATCTACATTACAAGGCATATGTTGTTTATGATTAAAGCTAATCATTAGCTTGAAGGTATAAGTATATGAACAGGACTACTGTTTCTGATTGTATGTCAAGCGTCTCTGAGCGCTAGGGAAAGTGCTATAACAATGTGTTATGATGATGTATTGATGTTGACCTCCTGCTGTGCGCCTCGTAATCTACAGCAAGGACACACAGAGTTCATTCACACACTCAGCAGGTATCTGGAAGTGTTCTCAGTTCAGCTTCTGCATGAGGACTTGATTATCAGTGACTCACTTTAAAGACTTTTATCGTCTCAAATGTCATCTCTAAGAATATATTCAAGTGTTCTCTTTCTCTCGGAAAGGACAAGAGAAGTGACTTTAGTGCCAGACTTCTTCATAAACATGTTTTACACATCATTCACAAAACTACTGGCTTCTTTTTATATTTATATATATATATATATATATATATGTATCTAATAATAACAACATCTAATTAATATAAGATTTTGTCATAAATCACGACCATCACCAAAATACTGTAAATAGTTTCTAAATGTTTCTCCTGAGTCTGTTGTCTATGAACCTACATCCCGTGAGGTTCTTAAGAGGACTGACAGCACCTGAGTATTCATACATATGAATACACTGATGTATTAATGTATATGAATACACTGATGTATACATGTATATAAACTGATGTATTAATACATATGAATACACTGATGTATTAATGTATATGAATAAACTGATGTATTAATGTATATAAACAGTTCATTCCTATGGAGCTGCTCAGAGGCGCATGAAGCCAATAATAGAGCGACTGTAGATCCAGGAAGTACCCGGATGTGGGCCCACAGAGCGTGCGCAGTAGAGTTTGTCTTAAGCCCCGCCTCCTCTCTGTCAGTCAGATGAATGGAGAGAGAGATGATCTCTGGATTCAGCTTTTAGAGCCTTGTACAGCTTTAACACCGTAATGATTTGAATAAGGGCTGTAAGAGAGTTCCTGCTGGGTGCTTTATCTAGCTCTAAAGAAATGACCCTCTGATTTACACACGTCTCTTTCCCAATGTAAGTCAATGGGGAAAAGTCTTTTCGGGCCAAAATGACGTCACTGGAGTTGTAGTACCACCGTTGGCCGCTACGGTCATTCAGATACGGGCTTCACCGAGAGGAGCGCTTCTTATGACCGGCTATCAGCGGAGCTTAAATGTTGCCGGGAAGGTCGGGATAAAAAATAAATGAAGAATATTAAACAGAATATAATAAATGAGGAGCCAGTGTCACAATAGAACAAAGGAATATCCGTTATTCAGATGGAAATCCTCAAACGAAGCGTCTGGAGGCTGAAATCTGAGGAAATCCCGTTCAGATCCGGAGATTACAGCCCAGATTTATCACCGCTTCTCCCGCATCCAGAGCTCCCGAGCCCGGCTGAAGCCGCTGCTGCTGCCCGGGCCGCGAGGGGGGCGGGGGGGGTCCGGCGGAGAGGAGAGGAGCCCGGCGGGGATCCAGAGACAATCCCGGGGCAGAAACACCCGGAGAACACGGAGAAAATGATGAAGGAAAGTCTGGATGTTAACGGGAATCCCGGAGAGCACCGACAGAGTTAAGAGGGACGGGACACACTCAGCAGTTCTGCTTAGGATTTTCAAAATAAAGTATCTACTGGTTTTTCAAAAATGTAGTAAAATAAAAAGTAGCTTTAAAGCGCTATCATATGCACAGTAGCTACAGTGTGGATATGGCGATACAAAAGCTACCATGGCACTAAAGTTATCCAAACGATTCATGTGTTTTCATAATATCTAAATGACTTTGATTCAATATTTTAAAATGTTTCTTTTATTTTGAAGCCTAATGCCCCGGGTTCCGGTCTGCCTCACGCTAAACTGCGCGCGCTTCCTGCCTCTCGGAATGTCAGGTGCCGTGCAGGTCCGCGCGAGCGCAACAGCGTGAATCACAGTGCGCGTAACTGTGCGCTCAGGAGGCCGCGGTGCATGATGGGAGGTGTAGTCTTTATCTCAAATAGTGAATATTCCTTACCTTTTGAAATAATGAGTTTGTTTTTAGACAAGAGTTTATTTCTAATGACTAAATACTACAAACGACTGTTTTGATGTTAAAATGCATCGTTCCTGTCAATAAAGGTTTACATCTGTATTGTTCTTTCACAAAAATCAATTATTATCTGGATTCTATTTCACTCAGGTGAAATTCATTCAGGTGCTCCTCTGAAGGTGCGTTCAGGTGCTCCTCTGACGGTGCATTCAGGTGCTCCTCTGACGGCGTTCAGGTGCTCCTCTGACGGTGCATTCAGGTGCTCCTCTGACGGCGTTCAGGTGCTCCTCTGACGGTGCATTCAGGTGCTCCTCTGACGGCGTTCAGGTGCTCCTCTGACGGCGTTCAGGGGCTCCTCTGACGGTGCGTTCAGGTGCTCCTCTGACGGCGTTCAGGGGCTCCTCTGACGGTGCGTTCAGGTGCTCCTCTGAAGGTGCGTTCAGGGGCTCCTCTGATGGTGCGTTCAGGGGCTCCTCTGAAGGTGTGTTCAGGTGCTCCTCTGATGGTGCGTTCAGGTGCTCCTCTGAATGTGCGTTAAGGTGCTCCTCTGAAGGTGCGTTCTGCTACAGGTGATACACTCTGCTACAGGTGACACAGCTGCTACAGGTGATACCTGCTACAGGTGATACCTGCTACAGGGGATACCTGCTACAGGGGATACCTGCTACAGGTGATACATCTGCTACAGGTGACACATCTGCTACAGGTGACACATCTGCTACAGGTGATACCTGCTACAGGGGATACCTGCTACAGGTGATACATCTGCTACAGGTGACACATCTGCTACAGGTGATACATCTGCTACAGGTGATACATCTGCTACAGGTGACACATCTGCTACAGGTGACACATCTGCTACAGGTGATACATCTGCTACAGGTGACACATCTGGTGACACATCTGCTACAGGTGACACATCTGCTACAGGTGACACATCTGCTACAGGTGATACATCTGCTACAGGTGACACATCTGCTACAGGTGATACATCTGCTACAGGTGACACATCTGCTACAGGTGACACATATGCTACAGGTGATACATCTGCTACAGGTGACACATCTGCTACAGGTGATACATCTGCTACAGGTGACACATCTGCTACAGGTGATACCTGCTACAGGTGACACATCTGCTACAGGTGACACATCTGCTACAGGTGACACATATGCTACAGGTGATACATCTGCTACAGGTGATACATCTGTAGCAGGTGATACATCTGGTACAGGTGACACATCTGCTACAGGTGATACCTGCTACAGGTGATACCTGCTACAGGTGATACCTGCTACAGGTGACACATCTGCTACAGGTGATACCTGCTACAGGTGATACCTGCTACAGGTGACACATCTGCTACAGGTGACACATCTGCTACAGGTGACACATATGCTACAGGTGGTACATCTGCTACAGGTGACACATCTGCTACAGGTGATACATCTGCTACAGGTGATACCTGCTACAGGTGATACATCTGTTACAGGTGATACCTGCTACAGGTGATACATCTGCTACAGGTGGTACATCTGCTACAGGTGATACATCTGTTACAGGTGATACCTGCTACAGGTGATACCTGCTACAGGTGATACCTGCTACAGGTGATACATCTGCTACAGGTGGTACATCTGCTACAGGTGATACATCTGTTACAGGTGATACCTGCTACAGGTGATACCTGCTACAGGTGATACATCTGTTACAGGTGATACCTGCTACAGGTGATACATCTGCTACAGGTGGTACATCTGCTACAGGTGATACATCTGTTACAGGTGATACCTGCTACAGGTGATACCTGCTACAGGTAATACCTGCTACAGGTGATACATCTGTTACAGGTGATACCTGCTACAGGTGATACATCTGCTACAGGTGATACATCTGCTACAGGTGATACCTGCTACAGGTGATACATCTGCTACAGGTAATACATCTGCTACAGGTGATACATCTGCTACAGGTAATACATCTGCTACAGGTGATACATCTGCTACAGGTAATACATCTGCTACAGGTGATACATCTGCTACAGGTGATACATCTGCTACAGGTGACACATATGCTACAGGTGATACATCTGCTACAGGTGATACATCTGCTACAGGTGATACATCTGCTACAGGTGATACCTGCTACAGGTGATACCTGCTACAGGTGATACATCTGCTACAGGTGATACATCTGCTACAGGTGATACATCTGCTACAGGTGATACCTGCTACAGGTGACACATCTGCTACAGGTGATACCTGCTACAGGTGATACATCTGTTACAGGTGATACATCTGCTACAGGTGACACCTGCTACAGGTGACACATCTGCTACAGGTGATACCTGCTACAGGTGATACATCTGCTACAGGTGATACCTGCTACAGGTGACCCATCTGCTACAGGTCAGTGTGTGAAGGAGAGAATGAAGAGGCTCAGGAGAGTTTCAAAGCTTTAATGACATGTCAGCGTTTACAGGTGCAGTTCATACATGAGAAGCCTTCTGGGTAATACTCGGCTGGGGTCATTCCTATAGGTGTGTTTCTGATTGTGCAGTAAAATGGCTTCCATACATGTGGATCAACAGCAGCACGAGTATCAAAGAGCGGGACCCTGAACGCAGCGCCACGAGAAGCAAAGCAAAGGTTCTACCATTACACAGCGCTCACAGGTTACATGTCGTCTATCTGCAACCCAGGACATTCAAGATCAGGTGATTCAGGCGGAGCATGCAGGTCTTACATCACACACTCAGAACTCAACCAGAAGCCCTATTGGTCCAAGAAGGAGACGCTCTCTGGAGGCGCTCTCTGGAGGCGCCCTCTGGAGGCGCTCTCTGGAGGCGCCCTCTGGAGACGCTCTCTGGAGGCGCCCTCTGGAGGCGCTCTCTGGAGGCGCCCTCTGGAGGCGCTCTCTGGAGGCGCCCTCTGGAGACGCTCTCTGGAGGCGCTCTCTGGAGACGCTCTCTGGAGGCGCTCTCTGGAGACGCTCTCTGGAGACGCTCTCTGAAGACGCTCTCTGGAGGCGCTCTCTGGAGGCGCTCTCTGGAGGCGCTCTCTGGAGGCGCTCTCTGGAGGCGCTCTCTGGAGGCGCCCTCTGGAGGCGCTCTCTGGAGACGCTCTCACAACATGATGAGGACATGACTTCAGAGAAAGTACAAAATTAACAAAATAAAGTTAAAAAACAAAGAGAAGAACGTGGGTCGCTGCGAACGCCTGAAGGAACCAGGTGAAGGAACCAGGTGAAGGAACCAGGGGAAGGAACCAGGGGAAGGAACCAGGTGAAGGAACCAGGGGAAGGAACCAGGGGAAGGAACCAGGTGAAGGAACCAGGTGAAGGAACCAAGTGAAGGAACTAGGTGAAGGAACCATGTGAAGGAACCAGGTGAAGGAACCAGGTGAAGGAACCAGGTGAAGGAACCAGGTGAAGGAACCAGGTGAAGGAAGTTCCCCTTCTGGTTTCTCTCCGATGTTTTGTTAGAACGTCGATGTTAAAACCCAGCAGACGACCACGAGAAGAAATCAAATCTAAAATATATAAAAAACTAAACTGCATTGAGAATAAACACACAGACTTCCTCACGGCGCTCTTTGGTGAAACTCTTCCAGTTGTTCTCGTGGAGTTCTTCCAGCCGTCGCCCTCAAATATCAGCTGCTCCGCTTCCTGTTCAAACTGAATTTTCATAAATCTGTTCTTTTGGAATCACAGAGATAAACAGCTGTGAAGTTGGCCCCAAAGTGAATTCATCTGAGCCACATCTTTCTAAGCTTTATTGAAATGGTTTTCACAGTTTTGTCGGATGCTAATGTGGCTAACGTGTGCGGCGAGCGGTGAGTAATGAAGCGGCTTTATGGCTGGAAAGGCAGTAGATGTGGGAGGGTGAGCGGCTGGCTGACTCCACAGAGGCCTCCGTGAAGTCCTCTCTGAATGCTAACGCGAGTTTCACCAAAGTGTCTCCTCTCTACTGCTTCTTCTTGCTGAACAGGCTGAAGCGCTTCTCCTTCTCCTTCTCCTTCTCTTTGTCCTTCTCTCTCTTCCCGGGACTCGACTCGTTGGGCAGCGTCTGAGCGCGACCCGACACCGGCGTTCCCGGGATGCTGCCGGGAGGCTCGGAGCGGTCGGAACGGTCGGAGCGCTCGGAGCCGGCGTTCAGGACCGCCGCGATCCAGGAACTCATCTCCTCCTGAGGGGGAGGCACCACAGGTTAGAGAGGGACACACACACACACACACACCACACACACACACACACACACACACACACACACACACACACACACACACACACACACACACACACACACACACACACACCACACACACACACACACACACACACACACACACACACACACACACACACACACACACACACACACACATCACACACATCCTTTTATTTGTTTTCAAAGCCCTAAATGGGCTGGCTCCGGCCTATATAGCTGAACTCCTCCAGCGCTACACCCCAGCCAGATCTTTAAGGTCTGCTGACCAGCTGCTGCTGGTAGTGCCCAAGACCAGGCTCAAAACCCGAGGGCACCGAGCCTTCTCAGCAGCTGGCCCTAGGCTCTGGAACACTCTGCCCCTCCATGTGAGGTCGGCCCAGACCCTAGGGGGTTTTAAATCTACACTAAAAACTCACTTCTTCTCTCTGGCCTTCTAGTTAGAGCGGAGCACGACTCCTGACTTTTCCTTGTGTTTCATTTTTATTTTTGATATATTTCTGTTGTAATTTATTGTCTTTTATTGTGATTGTAGTAATGTGTTTTTATTACATGTACAGCACTTTGGCTCGACCAAAAATCGCTTTTAAATGTGCTTTATAAATAAAACTTGATTTGCTTTGATAACAAAGGACTGGCTTATCTAAAGCCTGTTGAGTAGCACTTGAAATGTTTTGGCTCTATGAAACCTGATGTTCTTATATGATTCTGTTTTCTTCTAGTTTGTATCTTCTTGGTCGGATGCACTGATTGTAAGTCTCTTTGGAGAAAAGCCTCAGCTAAATGTGATGTATTTGTACTCCACTACTCCCACCTCTGGTCGTTAGAGACAGCAGCAGGTAAATATAAATACCAGTGTTTCTCAAAGTGTGGTCCTTGAGCGACCCCTAGTGGTCCTTGAGCGACCCCTAGTGGTCCTTGAGCGACCCCTAGTGGTCCTTGAGTATATGAGGTGTAAAACCTGTGAGCATTTAAATTCTCATAAAGGAAATGCTTATATAATCTGTATTTGTGTTGATCTAATGTGTGAACGAGGCGATACAGAGAAGCTGTCTGTATCAGGCTGTGATGTGTTATCAAGGGTTGGAGTGCTGAGCATACACAGAGCTGTTTCTGTGTCCCTGAAGGCAGCATCTCCCTCGTCCAATGGGATTAGTACAGCAGGACATACCTTCATATGTTTAAATACAATGTCCGACCGAAACATTTACAGAGCAGGTACTTAGTGATGAAATAAAAAGACTCACTTCATCTTTGGCTTGGAACAGATACTCGTTTCCATCAGCAGCTCTAAACAAAGAGAAATATGATATTACACAGGACTCTTTAAAGTAGAGACACTACATACTGATATACACCTGAACATCAGCAGAAGAGGACTCTTTAAAGTAGAGACACTACATGCTGATATACACCTGAACATCAGCAGAAGAGGACTCTTTAAAGTAGAGACACTACATACTGATATACACCTGAACATCAGCAGGAGAGGACTCTTTAAAGTAGAGACACTACATACTGATATACACCTGAACATCAGCAGGAGAGGACTCTTTAAAGTAGAGACACTACATACTGATATACACCTGAACATCAGCAGGAGAGGACTCTTTAAAGTAGAGACACTACATACTGATATACACCTGAACATCAGCAGGAGAGGACTCTTTAAAGTAGAGACACTACATACTGATATACACCTGAACATCAGCAGGAGAGGACTCTTTAAAGTAGAGACACTACATACTGATATACACCTGCACATCAGCAGGAGAGGACTCTTTAAAGTAGAGACACTACATACTGATATACACCTGAACATCAGCAGGAGAGGACTCTTTAAAGTAGAGACACTACATACCGATATACACCTGAACATCAGCAGGAGAGGACTCTTTAAAGTAGAGACACTACATACCGATATACACCTGAACATCAGCAGGAGAGGACTCTTTAAAGTAGAGACACTACATACTGATATACACCTGAACATCAGCAGGAGAGGACTCTTTAAAGTAGAGACACTACATACTGATATACACCTGAACATCAGCAGGAGAGGACTCTTTAAAGTAGAGACACTACATACTGATATACACCTGAACATCAGCAGGAGAGGACTCTTTAAAGTAGAGACACTACATACTGATATACACCTGAACATCAGCAGGAGAGGACTCTTTAAAGTAGAGACACTACATACTGATATACACCTGAACATCAGCAGGAGAGGACTCTTTAAAGTAGAGACACTACATACTGATATACACCTGAACATCAGCAGGAGAGGACTCTTTAAAGTAGAGACACTAAATACTGATATACACTTGAACATCAGCAGGAGAGGACTGTTTAAAGTAGAGACACTAAATACTGATATACACCTGAACATCAGCAGGAGAGGACTCTTTAAAGTAGAGACACTACATACTGATATACACCTGAACATCAGCAGGAGAGGACTCTTTAAAGTAGAGACACTACATACTGATATACACCTGAACATCAGCAGGAGAGGACTCTTTAAAGTAGAGACACTACATACTGATATACACCTGAACATCAGCAGGAGAGGACTCTTTAAAGTAGAGACACTACATACTGATATACACCTGAACATCAGCAGGAGAGGACTCTTTAAAGTAGAGACACTACATACTGATATACACCTGAACATCAGCAGGAGAGGACTCTTTAAAGTAGAGACACTACACACTGATATACACCTGAACATCAGCAGGAGAGGACTCTTTAAAGTAGAGACACTACATACTGATATACACCTGAACATCAGCAGGAGAGGACTCTTTAAAGTAGAGACACTACACACTGATATACACCTGAACATCAGCAGGAGAGGACTCTTTAAAGTAGAGACACTACATACTGATATACACCTGAACATCAGCAGGAGAGGACTCTTTAAAGTAGAGACACTACATACTGATATACACCTGAACATCAGCAGGAGAGGACTCTTTAAAGTAGAGACACTACATACTGATATACACCTGAACATGATGTTTAGATAAAGTTCCCTCACCGTAGTTTGAAGACGTGCTTCTTCTTCTTGTATTCTGAGGCCACGTCACAGACGGCGTCCTGCAGGCGCAGCGATGTTTCTCCGTGATACGAGAGGCCAGTCGCCGCCGCCTTCCCGTCTTTATAGAAACTCACTTCCTGTTTGTTGACCACGCAGTACACGTTGTGCCACGACCTGCCAATCACAGTCAACTTTATTGTCAGTCTTTCAGTTTGTGTGTACAGAGAGATCAAAATACCGTTTCCCACAATCCAGAGGAATATAAAATACAAATATATATAAAAATATGTATATCCTATATATACTCAACAGCAGACACATTTATACATGTGCACACATTAAGAATGAACATTAGACGGTCTGTAGCAGCGAGAGGATTAATAACACACTCCATTCACACTTAATGTATATATAATATCCTGCTTTATATTTTGTTACTGTACATTTCTATTTTCCACAAGTATATTTGAGATGTTCACATTTTGGATTGTTTATTTTTAGTCTTTTAAATTCTCTATTGTTCAATGCCTCTTCTTTTTATGCTGCTGCAACGCAAACATTTCCTAAATTGGGATCAATATAGTACTTCTATTTTATCTTATCTTATACAACACTCTGGAACTTTATCGACAACCAAAGCTAACACAGCTAGCCAGACGTCTCATATTGTTTAAGTGGAAAGAAACATTTCCTGCAACTTTAAGCTGTGGATTAAAGATCTTACACATCATTTGACATTAGAGAAAATTGGACATTTGTTGGAGGCCTTCTTGTTAGGCCCCTCCCACTCGTGTGTGTGTCTGTGTTTACCTATTGGAGGCCTTCTTGTTAGGCCCCTCCCACTCGTGTGTGTGTCTGTGTTTACCTATTGGAGGCCTTCTTGTTAGGCCCCTCCCACTCGTGTGTGTGTCTGTGTTTACCTATTGGAGGCCTTCTTGTTAGGCCCCTCCCACTCGTGTGTGTGTCTGTGTTTACCTATTGGAGGCATTCTTGTTAGGCCCCTCCCACTCGTGTGTGTGTCTGTGTTTACCTATTGGAGGCCTTCTTGTTAGGCCCCTCCCACTCGTGTGTGTGTCTGTGTTTACCTATTGGAGGCCTTCTTGTTAGGCCCCTCCCACTCGTGTGTGTGTCTGTGTTTACCTATTGGAGGCCTTCTTGTTAGGCCCCTCCCACTCGTGTGTGTGTCTGTGTTTACCTATTGGAGGCCTTCTTGTTAGGCCCCTCCCACTCGTGTGTGTGTCTGTGTTTACCTGTTGGAGGCCTTCTTGTTAGGCCCCTCCCACTCGTGTGTGTGTCTGTGTTTACCTATTGGAGGCCTTCTTGTTAGGCCCCTCCCACTCGTGTGTGTGTCTGTGTTTACCTATTGGAGGCATTCTTGTTAGGCCCCTCCCACTCGTGTGTGTGTCTGTGTTTACCTATTGGAGGCCTTCTTGTTAGGCCCCTCCCACTCATGTGTGTGTCTGTGTTTACCTATTGGAGGCCTTCTTGTTAGGCCCCTCCCTCACGTGTGTGTGTCTGTGTTTACCTATTGGAGGCCTTCTTGTTAGGCCCCTCCCACTCGTGTGTGTGTCTGTGTTTACCTATTGGAGGCCTTCTTGTTAGGCCCCTCCCACTCGTGTGTGTGTCTGTGTTTACCTATTGGAGGCATTCTTGTTAGGCCCCTCCCACTCGTGTGTGTGTCTGTGTTTACCTATTGGAGGCCTTCTTGTTAGGCCCCTCCCACTCGTGTGTGTGTCTGTGTTTACCTATTGGAGGCCTTCTTGTTAGGCCCCTCCCACTCGTGTGTGTGTCTGTGTTTACCTATTGGAGGCCTTCTTGTTAGGCCCCTCCCACTCGTGTGTGTGTCTGTGTTTACCTATTGGAGGCCTTCTTGTTAGGCCCCTCCCACTCGTGTGTGTGTCTGTGTTTACCTATTGGAGGCCTTCTTGTTAGGCCCCTCCCACTCGTGTGTGTGTCTGTGTTTACCTATTGGAGGCCTTCTTGTTAGGCCCCTCCCACTCGTGTGTGTGTCTGTGTTTACCTATTGGAGGCCTTCTTGTTAGGCCCCTCCCACTTGTGTGTGTGTCTGTGTTTACCTATTGGAGGCCTTCTTGTTAGGCCCCTCCCACTCGTGTGTGTGTCTGTGTTTACCTATTGGAGGCCTTCTTGTTAGGCCCCTCCCACTCGTGTGTGTGTCTGTGTTTACCTATTGGAGGCCTTCTTGTTAGGCCCCTCCCACTCGTGTGTGTGTCTGTGTTTACCTATTGGAGGCCTTCTTGTTAGGCCCCTCCCACTCGTGTGTGTGTCTGTGTTTACCTATTGGAGGCCTTCTTGTTAGGCCCCTCCCACTTGTGTGTGTGTCTGTGTTTACCTATTGGAGGCCTTCTTGTTAGGCCCCTCCCACTCGTGTGTGTGTCTGTGTTTACCTGTTGGAGGCCTTCTTGTTAGGCCCCTCCCACTCGTGTGTGTGTCTGTGTTTACCTATTGGAGCCCTTCTTGTTAGGCCCCTCCCACTCGTGTGTGTGTCTGTGTTTACCTGTTGGAGGCCTTCTTGTTAGGCCCCTCCCACTCGTGTGTGTGTCTGTGTTTACCTATTGGAGCCCTTCTTGTTAGGCCCCTCCCACTCGTGTGTGTGTCTGTGTTTACCTGTTGGAGGCCTTCTTGTTAGGCCCCTCCCACTCGTGTTTCCGGTGCAGGTTCCCCTCCAGCAGGGTCCCGGCGTCGGGGGTGCGGAGGGGCAGCGTGGAGGCCTGGCTGCTCTTCTTCCTGGAGGGGGGGGGCGAGCTGCCGGGGCTCGGGTCCTTAGAGCCGCCGTCACCGTTCACCATGGGGGGAGCGACCACCCCCTCCTGACACACACACACACACACACAGTCATTATGAGGGTCTGAGACCAGAGGTCATGACGGCAGATGCGCGTCACTATAACTCGCATGAGATAGGATCAATTTAATCGACGTGCAAAACACACACAACGCACTTTTGACCCCCGCAACATATATGAAAAATCACCAAATGTTGCACGCGCGTCACGACTGGTGAAAATTGCGATGTGTAATTGGTTCCGGAACTCTGCGTGAAAAAATGTGCAGGCCACGCCCACTTCCATTTTTAACGTAAACTCCCCCCACTTTCACGTAAAAAAACGAAAATCGCTACGTAAATCTAAAGTGAGGTGTATAAAAAAACGTACAGGAAGTCGGCCATTTTGAATTTGGCGTTGGGAAAACACAATTAATCACGTTTTCCCTCTCCGTACTTCAGAGATCTCCGAGAGATTTTATCCGATCGACTCCAAGTTCGGCGGGTAGCGGCTAACCCCATAACCCTAACCCTATACAATATATATATATTATGTGAAGTAACACCAATATTTAGGAACAATTAAAATGTATTTTATCAAAACAACACACGTTTAATTTCAGAATAAATGAAGATAATAAATAAAGGTAATTAATAAAGGTGTGGTACTGACCGGGGGGGATTCTGGGTCGGAGGGCAGTCCGTTCTGAGTGACGCTGCAGAGACACAAACACTTCCTGTTACTGAACGCCTTTACTCTGGAAACAGGAAGTACACATGGTGTTTTATTTTTGAAAACCTCTGCT